CTCTGTTCCTTTCTGATCTACTACTTTTAGGGTCTCTCTTTGCTTAGAGGACCCCTTTCAATATTTCCTGTAGAGCTGGTTTGGTGTTTTCAAATTCTTTCAGTTTTTGTTTGTCCTGGAAGCTTTTAATCTCTCCTTCTATTTTCAATGATAGCCTAGCTGGATTTAGTATTCTCGGGCACATTTTTTTCTTGTTTAGTGCCCTGAATATATCATGCCAGCTCTTTCTGGCCTGCCAGGTCTCTATGGATAAGTCTGCTGCCAATCTAATATTTTTACCATTGTATGTTACAGACTTCTTTTCCCAGGCTGCTTTCAGGATTTTCTCTTTGTCGCTAAGACTTGTAAATTTTACTATTAGGTGACGCAGTGTGGACCTATTCTTATTGATTTTGAGGGGGGTTCTCTGCACCTCCTGGATTTTGATGCTTATTCCCTTTGCCATATTAGGGAAATTCTCTCCAATAATTCTCTCCAATATACCTTCTGCTCCCCTCTCTCTTTCTTCTTCTGGAATCCCAATTTTCTAATGTTGTTTTGTCTTATGGTGTCACTTATCTCTCGAATTCTCCCCTCGTGGTCCAGTATTTGTTTGTCCCTCTTTTGCTCAGCTTCTTTATTCTCTGTCATTTGGTCTTCTATATCACTAATTCTTTCTTCTGCCTCATTTAACCTAGCAGTGAGAGCCTCCATTTTTGATTGCATCTCATTAATAGCTTTTTTGATTTCAACTTGGTTAGATTTTAGTTCTTTTATTTCTCCAGAAAGGGCTTTTATCTCTCCCGAGAGGGTTTCTCTAATATCTTCCATGGCTTTTTTGAGCCCGGCTAGAACTTTGAGAATCATCATTCTGAACCCTAGATCTGACATATTACCAATGTCCGTATTGATTAGGTCCCTAGCCTTTGGTATTGCCTCTTGTTATTTTTTTTGGGGTGAGTTTTTCTGCATCTGACATATTCTATTGCATTTTATAGAGGAAGAGAGGTATGCCCCATCCTGTATTATCCAAAGATAAATTACTTAACTCTGTTAAGACAAAAAGCCACTTTTCGAGATCTTTACAACATGTAATTTTCCTACTTATTCTGTGTTTGCTTTGCAGCTTGGCCAACATCTTTATCTGGATAGTAGTATTGCCAGTATTAAAGGTTATAGGTTGCATTTGTGTGTCTTATTTTGTAAGATCATTGGATTAGTTTCCTAGGGATGAGACAATAAATTATCACAAACTTGAATGCTTAAAACAACAGAAATTTATTTTCTCACAGTTAGTGGCTAAAAGTCTGGGACGGTTGGTTCCTTCAGGAGATCTGAAGGAGAACCACTTTCCAAGCCTGCCTCCTAGCTCAGTGTCTTCCCACAATCCTTCACCTTCCTTGGGTTGTAGTTACATCACTCCAATCTCTGCCTCCATCTTCATGTGGCTTTCTTCTCATGTTCTGTATCAAATAATCTCTTTCTTTTCTCTTATAAGGATACTAGTCATTGGATTTTGAGTCCATCTTAAATCCAAGATGATCACATCTTGAGATCCTTAATTTAATTACATCTGCAAAGACCCTATTTCCAAATAAGGTCATACTCACAACTATTAGAAATTAGGACTTAGACATATTTTGGGGGGAGACATATCCAACCAACTAGAATGCCTAATTATTCTTTGATGTTGCTATTCATGAAAATGTGATGGAGGAGAAGTTGAAATTAAAATATAACAAAATGCTAATCAGAGAATTTCTAATTCTTGTAAAGATGGAGTAATAGGAACCATGTTAATCTTTATACACTGAAGAAACAGCAAAATGGGCAAAACGTATGAAACATTGGACCAAACGCTGGACATGACCATGATCCTTGTCAGAAGGGGAATTGAATAAGCTGAGCACTGTAATTTTTCAATTTTACTGCCTACATAGAGTTTACAGGCTGCAGTGTTGTAAGGAGGAACACAGAGCCCAAAAGGCTTCCCGAGTTAAGTAGATAGAAATTAGAATTTGGGAAGATCAAGGAAGGTAGAATATATGTATGTATAATTGGAGATACAGAAAAAGAGGAGGGGGGGTGGAGAATAAGAGCAAGTTAAAAACTTACAAGAAACAGAATAAATAATAGAGAACACAAATCAATGAAATTGAAGAGAAAAAAAGGGTAGAGAAAACTCAAGTAAATCTACAGCTAATTTATTGAATGGATGAATAAAATTCATAAACTTTCAGCTAGAATGTTCATAGAAAGAGAAGGAACAAATTATCAATATCAAGAATGAGAAAGTAGACAATTGGGGCACCTGGGTGGCTCAGTGGGTTAAAGCCTCTGCCTTCGGCTCAGGTCATGATCCCAGGGTCCTGGGATCGAGCCCCACATTGGGCTCTCTGCTCAGCAGGGAGCCTGCTTCCTCCTCTCTCTCTCTGCCTGCCTCTCTGCCTACTTGTGATCTCTGTCTGTCAAGTAAATAAATAAAATCTTAAAAAAAAAAGAAAGTGGATATTACTACAGATCCTATAGATATGAAAAGGAGAATGAAGAAGTATTATAAACAATACTATACTAATAATCTTAATGTATATGAAATGAGTAAATTCCTTGAAAGAAAAAAATTAAGAAAATTCAATCAAGAAATAGATGATGTGAATCAACCTATATATGAAGAAAATGAGCCTTAGATAGATTTACTTTTGAATTCTACCAGACATTTAAGGAAGAATAGTACCAATCCTTTGCAAACTTTTTAAAGCCATTACCCTGATATTACAGAACAATATCCATCATGAACAGAAAAGCAAATTAAATCCAGCAATATATAGAAAGGCCTAAAACACATCATGACTAAGTAGTGTTTACAAGAGGAATCCAAAATTGGTTTAATATTTGAAAAGTAATAAATGTAATTTGCTATATTGACAGAGTAAAAAGAAAAAACATGATTATCTCAAAAGAGGCAAAAATTTTTTTCATAAAATATAGTATCCTTTCTTGCAGTAGGATGTATTGTTCCTGATTATGTAGCCTCCAACATCAATTCCATGGTCCTGCTGGATATTCTGTGACCTACCTAAAACACTTGTTTCAGAAATTTGGCCTCATTAAAACACACACACACACACACACACACACACACACACACACACAAAGATAGCCTATTTTAATAAACTTTTAATCAACTTTAATGAGGTATATTTTGCATCCAATAAAATTCTCCCACTCAGGTGGAGACTATTATGAGCAAATATACACACTCATGTAGTCACCACTAGAATCTAGATACAGGACACTTCCAGCAACCCGTAAGTTTCCCTTATACTCTTCGTAGTTAACCCTCATGTCCCAGGCTACCATAATTTGTTTTCTGTCATTCTAGATTACTTTGTCTATTTGGAGGCTATATAATCATGAATGACACATCCTACTGTAAGGGAGGCTAGGAAAGTGAGTTTCTAGATTCTATCCTTAGAAGGTGGGACTTTTAAGTTGGAAAATTTCCCAACTTTGCCTTGATCTCTTTTATTTGTCTGTGCATGTGCATGCTTGCTTTGAAATTAAAAAGTACTAAAAAAAATGAGGAAAAAAACATACACCCATATTTTCCTTACTTAGTGTTAATTACTTCAACATTTAGACATGTGTTTGGAGTTCTTTTGCTATTGACTCTTTAACAGATATTAAAGAAAAAAATATGAATTCATTGCCATAAAAATTAGAGTATTACAGATAATGCTCAAGTTCACATTGACCCCAGTGTTGCCATTATCTCTTTTATCCTCATAGAGGCAAACATTATTATGACCTTTGTATATGTATTTTTCTGATTTTCTATTTATAGAAATCATATTTATAGAATCATATTTATAGAAAAATATAAACTATTTTGATTCTTAAAATTTTACCTAAATGGTATCATATTTGCACATGGTTCTACAATTTGCCTTTTTAACTCAAATATGTTTTTCAGCTCACAAATACTGATACATATACGTAGTACAAATAAATGAATACAAGAGGAATGGAGATTTGTTAACTCTGGGGAAATGTTGTACTATTAATTCCATAAAACCCATTAGGAATTTTGAGAAGTTAGGAGTTTTTATTCTGATAATAAACAATTCCCATAATCTGGATGCTGGCCTCATTGGCCTGCCACTCCCCTACTTAAGGTAGTGCCTTCTCTGTACACAGAGACAGAAAGCGAAGCAAGAAAAAGTTAAAACACAAGAATCTGACCATACTAGACAAGGAAAAACAAAGCCTCAAAAGTTCTGGAGAGATAGGTGTTAATTTCTTAAATTTAGCAAAGAAAGTAGAAATTTGGTAATCACTTATTTAGACTAATCTCTACATAGCAAGTTTTCTACATGGTAACCATTTTGAAAAGCTTGTCCCTGCCCCCAACCTCACTACCCTTACCTCTTAACACTCTTAACACTAACAGCATTTTGTGGTAGCAGAAACTGTATAGTGGTAATAAGATTTTTTCCTCATTTTTCTTCTGTAATTGTTTTACTTCACATTTAAAATTTTGTGTATAAATTGGCATTCTCAACTACAGAATAATTAAATGCTTAATTAAATAATTAAATTAAATCAATATGAAATTTGAAAATATATTCAAGTAAGCAAAATAGCTTTTCTGTCATGTCAATTTATTTAAAGTTATCAACATAATTTAGTGGTACCTCCGGTTAAAATTCAAATGAGTTTTGGTAAGGTGTTACAATCAAAGAATTCAATAATGAAATAGAGATTCCAGTATCATTATTTAAATTGTACTCATATAGAGGAATGAATAATAATTAGTTGTTTGGATGGGTTGGTGGTGAGACCAGTAGCTCTTACAAAATATCTTCCAATCCATAGACACATCTTCTTTCTTAAACAATAGATAATAATTATAGCTAAGACTTATACAATGTTTGCCAAGTGCCAGATACTCATGAACATGTTATGGATTTTAACTAATTTCAGCCTTACAATAACCATTATTATTATCATTATTATTTATAGATGAGGAATCTGATACACGGGGCTCAGGAACTTCTTCAAAGTCATACAATGAAGATGAAACCCACCTGGGTTAGTACCAGAGTACAAACACATAAGCAGAATGCTATTCTGTCTCTTTTGATATATATATAAAAATAACATGTCCATTAATTTTTTTTCCCTAATGGAAACCACCAGTTAAAACAGGAAGAAAACTTCCAGTTTAAAAAGAGATTTTAGAAAGGTATAGTTCAGAAAAATAATAATAAATTTTACATTCAAAGTGTTTGACCCCTGCAAATTCTTACTCTAATAAGCTGGACCCTCACTATAGCAACTCTAGAATTCCCCCCAAGTTTAGAATCATACAGACATATACATGTGTGTATTTACGTGTGTCTACCTGCATATGTCTGTATGTGTATTAGACACATATTCTCAATGGTTGGAAATTTTTGTGCTCTGAAGATGGATTTTATCTGGAGATAATCAAAAGCATTTTGAGCTAAGATGAGGGGATGACGTAGAGTTGAGCAATATTAACTTGAAGTAAAATTAAGTTTGGGCAAAAAATGAAATGGCCTTTTTCATATTCAATTACTAACACTGACATTTACTTTTTCTGGCAAAGGATATAGATAGCTTTGGAGTCTAATTCTATTTTAAGGTAGGTATTCTCCCCATTTCTCTCCCCAACATTTTTCTGCCTCTTCATTAACGAGGGTAATACGTTGGAAACTTGGACATGTATAAAATTCTTTGTGTATATGAACTTCACCCTGTTTTGCTGATTATGCAACACCGAGTGTGTATTGTGGTAAAAGGAGCACTCTTGGCTATAATGCTGTAAAAGGCCGACATTTTAGTCACCCAGTAAAGTCCTACCATCATAAATAGTTCATTAGAAGAATTTTCCATTTTTTTACTAGATTGAAACTTAGTTCTCCTTTATTCTCACGTTTGTGGAAAAAAAAAAAAATCATTTACCCAGTCCAAGACGGGTTGAGATCCCTTTGCTGGAAGAAAATGAACTCTCTTCTCAGCATAATCACTCAAGTCCTGTAGCAGGGTTCTCTTACTCACTGCTGCCATCTGCTGGTCTTGTGATTGTTAGATTTTGGAGAAAGCGGTGCATAATGCTCCAGTCAAGATGATGAAAAATGCAAATATCATCAATAGGTAGTTTTGTAGACCCTGAATAATAAAAAAAAGTAAGTGTAATTAAGGAAACATGAATAAAACATGCAGAAAACACAGAATGTCAAGATTTCTAGGGACCTTACTAACCATCTGCTCTATCCACCAGTATGCCTTTTGCTATCCCGCCAAATAATCATCCAGCGTCTCTCTCAAAAACCCATTAGAACCTTCCTAATTCATCCACTCAGTAAATACATGTGGGCACCCACTTTGCAGCAACATATGCAGGGGTTAAAATGCTGAGGAAATGTGCCCTGATGGGAGATAGAAGTTAATCATCACAGAAAGAATGCTACGAAGCGAGAGGGGTGTTAATAAGTAAATGACCATGATTGTTTCTGAGGGGGGCTACAAAGAAACCTTGGTGAGGCTGGTCTGGAGGGTGAGGAATTAAGCTTCTAACCATAAGTACCAATTAATCGGGCAGGGAAACAAGTAGGGGTTCCAGGTAGAAGGAATTTTATGTGCAAATCTCTGTTGTAAGATTAAGTGTGATACTTGCCAGGGATTGAAAGGAAGGCAGTGTGCCCACAGATTATGAGAGTCAAACAGCAAAACCAGGTTGGAAAGCTATGGTCAGAGCTTCTGGGGATCTCACAGTCCACGTACACTTTGGGGTTTTATTTTTCCAAGTAATGGGAAGACATTAAAGAAACAGGCAGCTGGATGTGGTGAAAAGATGGGATTCACATTTCATAAAGTCCACCCTTTTTTTGCAGATGGTGAACAGATTGGAGGGGTCCAGAATAGGTGTAAGGAGATGATGAAGGAGGCAACGACAACCTTCCTGGGCAAAGGTGCTGAGGTGCAGATGGAGAGACAGAGATGGATCTGAAGGGTGAGGAAGAAACAGAGACTAAGTTTGCTTTGCCCAGCTAGGGGTACGTGCACTGGTATTAAAGACAGGAAACACTGACAACTACTTCCCAATGTAGCCAGTCCACCTTTTATTAACAAAGAAGTATCTAAATTTTTAAAAACAATTTATTTATTTATTTATTTTAGAGAGAGGGAAGGGGCAGAGGGAGAGAGAGAATCTCAAAAAGATTCCCCACTGAGTTCAGTGTTTGACCACCAGGCTCTATCTCATTGTCCTGAGACCATGACCTGAGCTGAAATCAAGATTTGGATGCTTAACTGACAGTCCACTCCAGTGTCCCTAACAAAGAAGTATCTTTCTGTGTTAAGTAGAGATATTTTATTTACTTTAAGTTCTCCTTTTCAAAAATTTATTTTTTTATTTGAGAAAGAGGGAGGGAGCATGAACGTTGTAGAGAGGCGGGGGGAGAGGGAAAAGCAGGCTCCCCGCTGAAAGCCCAACATGGAACTCCAACCCAGAGCCCTGAGATCATGACCTGAGCCAAAGGCAGATGCTTAACCAACTGAGACACCCAGGTGTTCCTATTCACTGTAAGTTCTATCTATCTCCAGAGGTACAGATAGACCAATTTTAATCTCTATCCCAAAAGATAAACCCTCAAATATTAAAAAAAATAACTGTCTTATGCTCTTAAAGCTTATATTTTCTGGATCATTATTTTAGCTTCTTTGACCATGTTTCATATGAAATAGTTTCAGGCTCCTTGGCTGTTTCCATCTTAATGGTTGTCACACTATGTCCCTCTTTAATTGTAAGTCCTGATGCTCTAAAGCAAGGTTTGAACATTACAAAGTAAAACAGGACCAGTACCTCCCTAACTTCAGATAAAATTCTAAAACAGCACCGAGATCTCTTGACTGTCAAATCATATAATATTATTTTTATCTCTTACTAACATTAATATCAATTAATACATAGCCAAAATTCCAAAAGCTCATATCTTTTTTCTTCAACTTCATAAAGAATTGGGAAAATGGATGAAATGATCTGTATTTGATGACAGGGAGAGGTCTTTTAAGTTGGGCTGGGGCCAACTGAAGTTTCTGATTCACTGTGAGTATGAGTACTACCAGAAGTCACTCTAATGCAAGTTCCACAAATGAAAGCACCACAAAGCCTTGCCAAGTACAGAGCAGCTTATTTACGTGCTTGGGCGTGCTCGTGTGTGCACGCGCACGTGCGCACACGCACACACATGCACACACACACTCTCAAACTCTCTCTCTCTCTCTTTCTGAGCTTTAAGTTTCCCTGACATCTTGTCAGTTTTAAAGACTGCAACTTTACCTAGATATCAGCACTGATGGAGAGTAGGCACTCAAATATATGCTGAGAGAAGGAATACAATCAGGCGATTCCCAAATCTCCTTTGTGAATTAGACAATTGATACAATGACTTAAATAAGAAAAATAGGGGTGCCTGGGTGGCTCAGTCATTAAGCATCTGCCTTTGGCTCAGGTCATGATCCCAGGGTCCTGGGATCAAGCTCTGCACTGGGCTCCCTGCTCAGCAGGAGGCCTGCTTCTCCCTCTCCCACTTCCCTTGCTTGTGTTCCCTCTCTTGCTGTCTCTCTCTCTGTCAAATAAATAAAACCTTTAAAAAAATAAGAAAAACAATTATCAGCACTTTATACAACCTAATTATGTGAATACTTTGTTGGGCTCTCTCCTTTATTGTCTACGTAGTCAGAAGAATGATGTTCTCAGAGATTAAAATATTTTTCCCTTTTAAGGTTAAGAATCTATCTAAACTGCCCAGTCTCCTAAAGACAAAGACCGATTATATTTGGGCGATAGCAATATTTTCCCTTTGTGAAAAGTGAATCTTAACACTTAGAAAGATCATGCTAACATTCTCCCCAAAGCAAAAAGTTTTAAACTTGGATCTCTGAAACAGCTACTAAGATAACAGATAATCCCATTCTTTATCTGGGAGTAGCTATTGACCTATAAACTGTTGTGGTAGTAATTCCCCGCATTGTTACTTCTGTAGACATTGTGTCTGAAGTTTGTTTCTAAAGATAATAATGTACATCTAGCTTAAAATAGCTAAAAGTAAAATTCTAAAACAAACTTCTCAAAGATGAACAAATACCAGATATAAAAGAGCATTGTGGAAAGTGGAAAAGCCTCCAGCTGGTGCCTGGATGGCATTAAGACTAACTAAAATCATTAAAACTCTTTAGCACAAAAAGTGCTTGGATCTCAGATTAAGTTCTTACTGCTGTAGGTTGTAGACTTTCAAATATGTGTCTTCAAGTACTGCTTCAAGACATAACTAATAGGACCTAAAAGGAAAGATACATGTTTTGCTTTTGTTTTCCTCTAGGGTCTTATCTTGTTTCTAAGAAAAATAATTCAAAAAATTCTGATAGGGGGCGCCTGGGTGGCTCAGTTGGTTAAATGTCTGCCTTCAGCTCAGGTCATGATCCCAGGGTTCTGGGTTGGAGTTCCATATTGGGCTTTCAGTGGCGAGCCTACTTCTCCCTCTGCCTGCTGCTCCCCCTGCTCCTGCCTTCTCTCTCACTCTCTCAAATAAGTAAAATCTTAAAAAAAAATTCCAATAGGATTTTGGTTTCAGTGTTTAGTTCCTAGCTCTTTCTTAAAGGAGTTGGCAGGTAGAGTATTTAAAACTTGGCTTTAAACTACCTGTTAAAAGGCAATTAGGTACCTTCACTTTATTACAAGTCTCACTGGATATTTCTTAAATTTTGAATTTTGTTTGTAGACAGATTTATAAGTAGGTTTTTTTTTTCTTTTTTTTTCTTTTTCTTTTTTTTTTTTAAATCCAGAAGTCAATAAAAGTCATTCTTTGCTTCCAGCTTGGTCTTCTTTCTCTTTACATTTACATCCAAACTTGGCCAAAGTTTAGAACACACTTTCAAAATTCCAGATAGAACTCCGTTGGAATTTTGTTGGAATCACACGGAATGTAATTGGAAACAACTGCCTACTAACAATTGTGAGTTGCTCCGTCAGGAATGTGGTAAGCTTCCCCATTTGTTCTGATATTTTCTTATGTTCTATAGGAAACTTCTGTGGTGAAGTGATTGATTTTCTAAATCTAACAATTCCTTGTTGATTATTTTCTTATATTTTTATAATTTTTGTAATTTTTAATAGCATTTATTTTCATTTTCTAAGAAAATATTTATTTACTTATTTGAGAGAGAAAGAGAGAACTAGTGGGGGAAAGTACAGAGGGAGAGGGAGACAGAGAATCCTCAAGCAGACCCCCTGCCACTAAGCGCAGAGCCCTACGTGGAGCCCAATCCCAGGACCACCGAGATCATGACCTGAGCTGAAGTCAAGAGCCAGACGCTTAACCTACTTAACCATCCAGTTTCCCTTATTTTCCTTTTTAAAATTGGTTATTGGTGGCATATTAAAAAGTTTTTGATTTTATATTTATCCTATTTCAGAACTTACCAAATGATCTTAATAGATCTCGAGATTTTCAGCTGATTCACTTAGCTTTCTAAAGCAGATAATGTTACATGCAAATGACAGTTTTCTCATTTTTCTTTCCTACATCTATTTCTCTTCTTTTTCAATTTTATTTTTTTAATTTTATTTTACCATACTGGCTAGGATCTCCAGAAAATACTGAATAATATGGATAAATCTTTGACTTTCAACTTACAGCGAACTTTTTTCCTCAGCTTTACTGAGGTATAATTGGGAGAGAACTTTTAGGTGTTATCTAACTATGTTGTTTTTGATAGACAGATTTCTCCTATTTGTAGCACTTCTAAGAGGTTTTCTCTTAATTAAAAACTGGTTTTTAATTTCAGCCTATGTCTTTTGAATATATATTATCACATAGTTTTTCTGTTTACCTAATATTATAATACTCTGATTAATTTGCATATTATAAACTTTCCTGGCACTCCTGAATTAAGCCCTACTTGGTCATGGCTTATCATTTTAAGAAAATTCTTCTCTATTCGATCTGAGCTGTCTTTTTATAGGTGTCTTTAAAAAAAACTTTTTTTAAAATGACTTTTAGCATCATTTTAGAGGAGTCAGGAATTACCATTAGGCTGAATGGCTAGAGGTTCTTTCTCTCTCTCAAGTTCTTATAACTACGGAAGTGGGTTTTTTAAGTTTGTATAATTAATACAGTAGTAGGGACTAGAAGAATTTTCAAATACTTTATATTAAATCTATTCTTTGTTTGTGCTTCTTTCTATCTGTAACTGCAAATAAGCTATGCTCACTTGTGGTTTTCTAAGGCTTCAGGATGTTATACTGGTTAATAAAAACCCAATTCTTAAATAGCAGTAATTATCCTTTGGGAGGCAGAAGAAATATTTGCAAAGAGATTATGTTTTGGACATAAAATTATTTTTTGTGGAAAACAACCCTAACTAAAACAAATGAGAAATGTGGATGGAAGCAATTTATGGATCTATAAATGTTTTAAGTTGTCTTTTGTATTTTAAAAAGTACAAAAATTAAGATCTTGGTGCATATATCCTAAGCAAATTTATTATTTTTTAAGTCTGAGAATCCTGTGCTATCAAATTATGGCTTTCTAAATCAAAACATTTCACTTGGGATAAATGAAATGATATTTTAAATCTAAAATTGAATAATCATTTTAAGAATTATCCAGGTACACAGGTTGCTTTTTGGTTCCCAGAGATTAGAAACATCAGATCTTTTTAGAAGCAGGAATTATTTGTTATTACAGCTGCATATGAAGACAGAAAATATATCTATGCTACCTTGACAGACTGTCTTTGATTTATATATATTTATAATAAAAACTATTTCAAAATACTATTCACATATATTCCTCAAATAAAGGCTAATGGGAAAAATTCTAAAACAATTAAAAATATTTAAAAAATATTTTGTTTTTAAGCAATCTCTACACCCAATCTACAACCTGAAGATCAAGAGTCCTATGCTCCACTAGCTGAGCCAGCCAAGCGTCCCTAACAACAATTTTTAGTGAAAATACACACACACATCCTAGAGCTATTTAATAAATGAATTTTTAAATCATTATCATTTGCACTTGAAAGAGAAGGGGTAGTAGTCACCTGCTACCATACTATTTTCCTATAAAATTGCTGGTTTAATATGGAGGCCTTTGGGAGGCATGAGAACCAACAGAAGAATTTATTCCAAATTCCATTTACCTCAAGGATATTTTAATCTTTAGGATTAAAAAAAACTTTCATTTTGTTTATCGATCATAGTTTACATTAAATAAAATTTCCCTTTATCATATTTATTGGATTATGTAACCAAAATCTCTTATGGGAAATAAAAAGTAACTAAATCATTTTCTCACTGGCTACAGGAGTGGAGAGAAACATGTTTCATAATACTTATCATATCTTTAGTATTTTCTTTCCTTGTTAGGGATGATAACATTTTGAACATCTGAGGCAGAAGTGCTTAGGGGTCACATACAGTTTTCAGAAAATGACACAAACATGGTATGAAATACCTTTCTTACCTGGCTCTACACCTGTTTTCTTAATCTGTCCCCTTTCTTATACATACCTGTATTTCCTTAAACATGAAGACACCCCACATTGCAGCTATAAATCCTGGACCCTTGAATAAAAAGAAAAACTGTAATTTAATTGGTTACTTTTTCTGTGACCTGTACTCTACATAAATATAGTATATTGTAGAGCTGACCTAATACTTCCATTGAATAACTTTCTACTGTAAAAACAGTATAACAGTATTGTCAGGAAAAACTATTCATAATCTCAACACTAACTCAACATTAAACTAAGGTAGCAGTCAGTAAAAAAAAAAAGATTTTTCTTGTTTCTTTATAGTTTTCATATTTATTACATTGATGATGTCATATTATTATTTGATTTACATAAATAAATGTGATCTATTTATAGTAAATTTTAATAAGCAAATGATTTATTTTTTTTTCTAGTGAGCTTAGGACACTAGAAATGGGATTAATAGGAGAAAGTGTAGGAATAATTTATCTTAAAGATTTTATTTATTTTTATTTGAGAGAGAGAGACAGGGAGAGAGAGAGAGAGCATGGAGAGGGAGAAGCAGACTCCCTACCAAACAGGGAACCTGGAGTGGGACTCGATCCCAGGACCCTGGGATCATGACCTGAACTGAAGGCAGACATTTAACCGACTGAGCCACCTAGGTGCCCCCAAAGTGTGGGAATAATTTATAACTTTATTTGCCATATAGCAATCTCATAACTGAAGAAACTGTAGTATGTTCTTTTGGACCTGTCAAATACTGCACTTTTAAAAAAATTCTTAAACTGGTACTATTGCATTGTGGTGAACTATGTCTGACATTAAACTCCAATGGATGCTAAAGACAGTATTATAGGATGATAGAAAAGCCATGTAAGGAAAAATAAACAAAAGATTTATTCAGACAGGAATGAAATAATCTAGGAAAGGTAAGTGAGAAGAAACGAGGTGGAAAGAAAGAATGATTCTGCAGTTTGAAACTTAAAGCTATTCAAGTTTATTAACTGTTTTTAGCTGAGAAGGAAAAAAAAATGGTATTTGGATTAATCATGGTCTTTGTGGAGAAAGTGTATCGTATCAGCATTTTTATGATTCCTTTTCCAGCCCTGCACAAACTCTGGAAGGGTTTCTCATAAACAATTCCAACAGATTTTTTTGCCCTCCACTACTCCAATTGTCTACATGACTGGGTCAACAAAGTTTGACTCCACTCCAGGGATGTAAGTGAAGCAATAAAAATACATTACTCTCTGTTTATCAGTGTCTGGAAAATTCAACATCAAAAGCGCCAGAGAAATAGGTCAAAGGAACTGTCTTTTATCAATGATGTAAGATGTTAAGCCTCAAAATCCAAACCAAACAAGAAGCATCTGTGTCCTTTAGGCAATTCCATACTGACTTTGGACAGGATGGAAGGAAACAATAGAAAAGGAAATATAATACTAATGTTATCAGGCCAATCGCTCAAGAATTTTATCCTCTCTAATCTGGAAATTTATTTCTCTTCAGAGAACATGATAGAAGACAATGCCAAAAGGTATCACTGACCTTTGAGGCTTTTTGGCTGATCACTTCCTAAATATTACTTTAGACATGGTCTAAGGGTTATTGCGAGGAGTAATGTGGTTATAAAAAGTGGTGCTTTGCTAAAAGTAAAACAAGCACAGGTCAAAGTATGTACATACTCTTTGATTCGGGCAAAAGAGAGCCAAATAGGAAGCACATCTTAGATAAGAGACATAGCTGTTTTGGCAATTAGGATTGCATATTTTCCTTTCGTAAAATGAATATAAATTACATATTTGTAAATGAGCCTTTGAAAACAAGGTGAGCTTGAGCTACCTTGAGAAGCTGAACTTCTGGATAAACTGAGACAGCTTTCAGATTTGTCAGCAAAGACTTGGAGCAGAGATATCAAGCCCTTGTTGCTGCTACATCGTTTCTTCTGTTTTCTTTCTTTCTTTTCCCTCCCCACCTCTTCCCTCTTCCCCTCCCATTTCCCTCCCATTCCATTTCCTCCTCTCCTTCCTTCCTCCCTCCCTCCCTTTCCCGCCCTTCCTTCCTTCCTTTCTCTCTCTCCTTTTTAATTAAATGTTATTTGTAATAAACTATAGATGCTACCTTCAAGAAATTCACAATCTAGCTACCAATGGCTATATAACAGTGGAAATACATGTACCTGGGAAGAACAGTGCTGCTAGAATAACAAAAAATGTGCTCTTTTGATAAAATAAAGTTGATCATATTTATCATTGTTGAAGCTGGATGATGGGCATGTTTAATATTTTCCACTAAAAAAAAATGATGTTAAAAAAAATCCAGTTCTCTCAAGAAATAAAGAAGAATATAAGTTCCTTAAAGAAAAGACTGGATCTTTTCTGTATGTGGAAAATATTGTTCTTGACTAGAATAACAAAAATGAAACCAAGCAAGAACCTAATAGCAATTTTTCCCAATTCCCTCAAGTCCCAGAAACACCTGTTATTCACAGGTAATAATCCCCAAGCACCAAAAGAAGCTAAACCTGGTGGGTGAGAAGACTGTTTATATCACAGTGGCTGGAGAATAGTTCCTCTGACAGGCAAGTCTCCAAGAGCCACGGTGATTACTCCCATCAACTCTCTGCCCATACTGCACCTACCTCAGCAATTTATTTCCACGGAATTAGGCATTAATGTTTTATCCTAAATCTTTACCATAATTTAATACAAGAAACAGTGACAGAAAAACCAAATCTTGTCCATTATAAGTTTTTTTTTTTTTAAAGAAATAGTATTTATTGTTATTTAGTGTCCCCTGTAAAAGGCCCTATATGGTACATTCTATTAAGAATTTAGTGCTAGATGATTCCGGAAGAAACAACAGCACGACGTGAAGATGGGGAAGCAAAAGAAAGCAAGGAAGTATGTGATTATGAAGCGAATGCTTAGTCTCCGAGATCAGAGGCTTAAAGAAAAGGATAGATTAAAACCTAAAAAAAAAAGAAAAGAAAGATCCCAGTGCACTCAAGGAAAGAGAAGTCCCCCAACATCCTTCCTGCTTATTCTTCCAATATAACACACGACTGGGCCCACCTTACCACATCCTGGTTGATACCAACTTTATCAACTTTTCCATTAAAGCCAAATTTGACTTAGTGCAGTCAATGATGGACTGTCTTTATGCCAAGTGTATCCCTTGTATAACTGACTGTGTAATGGCTGAAATTGAGAAACTGGGACAGAAGTATAGAGTGGCTCTAAGGATTGCCAAGGATCCAAGATTTGAACGATTACCATGCACACACAAAGGAACCTATGCAGATGACTGCTTAGTGCAGAGAGTAACTCAGCACAAGTGTTACATCGTGGCCACAGTTGACCGAGACCTTAAATGAAGGATCCGGAAGATTCCTGGAGTTCCCATCATGTACATTTCTAACCATAGGTACAACATTGAGCGGATGCCAGATGATTACGGGGCCCCTCGGTTCTAATTCTTAAAAGATAGAGTTCCTCTGCCTTCCTTTACCAACTTTTTCTATTGCCGGTTCATATTAGCAACATGCTATAGCATGAATTATTCTTCTTACCCTTTTCCTGTTATGAGCTGAGTATGGTTAAATACACTCACTTTTTGGTATTGTTTTGAAATTGATAATTTGTATCATTTTAAATATTGTTGCATTTTTTTTATAAATCAGATGATTGCTCATATTAAAAAAAAAGAATTTAGTGCTAGAAAATAAATAATATCTTCTGAAGAAATAATGTTACCAGTTAAGAATTACTATCCCATTGTATTTACTCCTTGTTGTAAACACAAAGCAAAACTTAATGTTTAATCACATGACTCATCCAAAGACAATAGTTTGCTTTAGAACTTTCTGAAAGCCTTTTAAAATACCGAAGGACCATATGAGGAGTCTGAAGTCCTTTCTGTCTCACAAGGTTGTCAGGAGATTTAGAATATACACAAAAGCATTTTTAATTTGTAAATATTACATAGAGATAAGTATTGTTATTAATAGAAAATTACAATGTATCCAAAATGACAGTAAGTAAAATGACCAGACAAAAACTGCAAGGATATCAAGGATGAACAAACCTGCTAAAATGAGGTTAGCGATGTTTCCTGAGCAATTAGGGACATGAGATGAGAGGGTGTTGGTGAATCTACATGAATCTGTCATACAAACTGTACTCCTAAAAAATTGAACTCCATGATAGTCCCTAGTGATTCACTAAGAATGCTTCAGAGAAATCAGATTTACATTTGAAAAACAACTTGGAAAAACATTCAGCTACTTACAGCAGTGATTATCGGAAAACTGACCACAGCACTGAGAGCATGGTTAGCTATGAACCAACAGCAGGTGGCTATTGCCCAAAGAACTCCTGACAGGAATCCTGAAACACACGTAAACAGTGCACACTTACAAGCCATGTTCCTCTCCTGAAAAGTCCACACTCTAGATACAGTGGGAATATTAAAGTGCTCCTATCAACGCATTCTTTTTTTTTTTTTTTAAAGATTTATTTATTTGACAGAGAGAGAGAGATCACAAGTAGGCAGAGAGGCAGGCAGAGAGAGGGGGTAAGCAGGCTCCCCTCTAAGCAGAGAGCCCGATGTGGGGCTCCATCCCAGGACCTTCAGATCATGACATGAGCTGAAGGCAGAGGCTTAACCCACTGAGCCACCCAGGCACCCCCTATCAAAGCATTCTTATCGACATATTTGGCCAACATGGTTTTAGGATCCATTTGGAAACTGAGTCATTTTTTTTTCTTCTTGATGGCTGTGGGTATAATTATCAACCTTTTCAGTTTATTGACATTAAATAAAATACCCAAAGTTGTAGTTGAGATAAAGATTTGGTAGTGGAGAGGGATCTAGGGAAGATAATGGATCTGGGCATGCTCTGAGAACACCATTTAAGGGGGAAAAAAAAAGCTCCTAGAATTCGAATGGAAATACCAGATAAAATTTTCAGGTTACTTATCTAGGTGTTCAATAAATACTCTATCACTTTTTATAATGGTATACGGGCATACTTTGACCTAAACAAATCAGGTATTCAAAATGAATCTCTGACATATGCTTTATTTTGTTCTTAAAATTTTTTCCTTGTGGACTTATATTCCATATTGCTTTATGGCAAACTCCTAAAAAATAAGAAACTATATATATATATTTTTTTACCACCAGTGCCAAATGGATTAAGTCCAAAGCATGTGCATTTATCATATATCCTTTTCAAACTCTAAAACGGATTTCTCCTTCCTTTTCAGAGAAAATGTTTGTTTACCTAAGTGACTACAAAGTTCTATTGACTCTGACTTTTAATAAACATCCTTAGATAATGAAGAAGAAATAATAGAGTCTGATTGTCAATACACAAGGTATTTTGGCATAGGAAATCACCTTAGATTCATTTTTCAAGTTTCAGGTTCTATAATAACTGGCATTTCATATCAAGTTTCATGGTTTTTAAATCTTTTCCATTTACTGGTGAGTTGGGCCAGAGCAACTAGGTAATGAACATATATACACAGACAAAGACACACAGGGTGGCTTGGTTTCCAGGAGATGATTATTCAAGCTAAGTGAGTAGAGAATACTTTCACAGAGTAAGAAGATTTTGTTGTAGTAAATATTATTACCTGGCAAGACTGCTTCAGGATATAGCTTAAGGTTATTTTTCATGGCTATACAGTAGGCCAGAAAGTAGACTGTGCTTGTAAAAAAGATGCCACTGAAGTGTGCAAAAACGTAGTCTAAATCTGAAAATACAGACCATAAGACTCTCAAATGTATCCTTTTATTCATTTCAAATATACTTAGGGTTCCAAAAATAAAACAAACTCACCAAAATTAACCTTAAAAGTAAGGGAACTATTAATTATATTTTATGATCTTAGGTTTCTACATGCTGTTTATAAAGAATTTTAATTAACATATCTAAAACTTAGAAATATTAAGTAGTAAATTAGTTACTATAATCAGATCTAGAAGGCTAATTTTTATGGTTATCTTGGAAAGATAAATAAGAAACTATAAATATTATGTGAAAACCATCTTCTTTTTAAAAATAGATTGCAGGCTTAATTTTACTAATGCCAATGTAGCAAATCTCCAAGTAGACAGTAGTGGGGGTGATGTGAAAAATACGGGAGAGTGCTAATTTTATATGGTGACCAATCTGGAGACGAGCATCTCTGTTGCAGATGACAACTATATGAGAGGATATTCAGGAAGTTATCTCAAAAAGGGTTTTATTTAGTTGTTTACTATAGGCCTCATTACATGGGGGAGTTAATGACACATGATGGTGGTATAATATCTGAGAAACCCCAACTGCACCGACTGTTTGAGCAGACTGTCCTTTAGTCATACAGATGTGTATATGATAGGTTCTTGGCTGGGAAGGTCATACTAGACTCAATGTTTCTCTCAAAGGAAATTCTGGCAAAGGCGAGGGGTCATGCTTAAGGAGAAAAGCTTGAAGGTCAATCAGTGTGTCTGTTCTTCTAAAATCTTAAACCCTACTTCTGGATCATATAAGAACAACATGTGTATGAACTACCACAAGGGACAGCATAACATCGTTAATAAAAGCACATACCACATGAGTGGGATCTGCAATCTACTACTTGCTAATTTTGAGAATTGGGCAAATTACCTAATCTCTCACAGTCTAAATTTTCTCAACTGTAAAACAAGGATAATAATGGTACCTAACTAATAAGGTTGTTATGAGGGTCAACTGAGTTATTATTGTAATGTGCTTAGAAGAGTGCTAGCACAGTGCATATAATACTTATGTTTGTTAAATAAATGAAATAAAAAATTGCACCTCCCTAGAATTATGTTTTAATAAAGTGGAATAAAGTGTGTTCCTATTAGATGGCATTAAAGTTGTCGTAAGAAAGGTCCCTAAGGATTGATTGTACTATTTATGTAAAGAGATTGTTGAAATTATTTATTATGGCCCAGGACCAAGAACAACCGTACTCCTGGATGATTAGTTCTTTTTATCTTGTGTTCACTGAATTGTGGGACAGATTTGATTTCCTTTGTGTCTATAAGAAATCTTAGAGCCAAATTTATGGCTCATTTCTAGCAAGTGTAAAAATATGTTACAGTTTTTAGACTCATTCCTGATTCTGTTTTACTTTTTTCACTCTTGTTTTTCCTTCTCTTTTAATTTATCTTATGTTATTCTATTTTTATTGGTTCTTATCCTTTACAGATGAAAATACTAAAAACCCAAAAAGTATTTGTAGAATACCTTAAAAAAAAGACAAGTTCATAAAAGATTTGAATGTTATTTGGACTGAATATAAACAAGAACGAAGAAACAATGGTGTCTACACAGTCTAGCCCCTCAGTTAAAGTCTTTCAAATCCCAGTTTTGTCATCAGTCTCTCCTTCATGACTTTTGCCTGCCAAATTTCTCCCTTATCTGAATGTAGATCACATTAATTTTCTGTTCCATCCAATTTAGAACTTTATTACCTATGATCTCATTCCTTTATGAGTTCATGGGTGGAAGCCATGTTTCAACAAAATGATAGGACCCCTGAAGTAGACCTTCTTTCATCTCCTGATGAGCCTGTACAAGGGCTATTGCACGTGGTGTTGAGTTTATATCTGACAGACTCAATCTATCCCTAGAAACTGAGATAATCTGGGGGCATTATGTTGGGCTTTTCAATATACTACTCTATGCTTTAAAAACAATATCCTCTGACTAGGCTATACTTTGACCTTTAGGCAGGTTATACTTTGGCCTTTACTTGATTTTAAAGTGGTATGTACTGCACTTTAGCTTTTTTTAAAAGAGCAGAAGAATACATATTTTCTCAGAGATTACCTAACTGGAAAATAATCTCCAAATTTTACTGTAAATCCAGGAACTGTGTGTTAAGATCTAAGTAGCCTATATCAACCCTGACTAGAATAAAGTTGATTATATTTGTATTTTGACGATCATATGAAAAGACTCAAACAGTCCTTTATTACTTTTAGTCTTCAGTGGTTTTATAATCTACCACTTACAATGAAAAAGCAAGTCGAATCTATGTACCAGGATTTACTATGATCACGTTCTTTTTATATGCTTAAGTAGCAAAAAAGGTATTGAGTTCATTTATAAAGGAAAATAATGTTTTACTCTTACCATACTGGCTTGCCCCTGCGTATATACTGTCATTTCTTTTGCTGTGGTCCTTGATATAAATGATGGGCACAAATGTAGACCCATAGAGTATTCCAGATATCACTGCAAGAGTGCAGCCCCTTAAAAAACAAACACATCACTGTTAATCTTGGCCCACAGCAATATTTCTGACAAACACACAAATGGAATCATAACTAAAGCATGCTTCTAAGTGTAAATCACAGGCAGTTATGCAGAATCACACATCTATTTCAAGCTCTATGACTGTCAAAAAGTCAATGCAATATCCTCTAGGGTCAGAGCAGCATCAGGACTGAAAGTGCAGTTTCTGTCCCCCACTTCCTAGTTTTAGAAGTATATGATTTACAGAAATTATAATGGGTTATCATTATAAATTGTTCTAACATAGACGTAACCATTGCTATCATATGCATATCATTATGCTATGCATAATGAACTTGGCTCTCTAAATATGAACTATTTGTGGACTGACTATATGCCTTACGCTTCTTTTTTGAACACTCAATATCTAGTACAGGGCTAGGATAGACAAAATACTAAATGCATGCTCATTCAAGAACTGTTGATATCCCTGGACTTGCCCATGCCTTCGTTGACTAGGGTATGGTCAGGAGGCGCTGATTTAATCAAATAATTTGGCAATTTTGGGTAAAACATTTCCTATTGTAAAAAGAAAATATTTCATCTTAAGCAATGGAACCATGTGGACTCCTGAGACTTGTGCTCCGTTTGCATGAGGCAAGTTTCCCAATAATTTTGGGGAGAGATGATTAATATTTTGGAACACTCCCTTTAACTTAATATAAAGGGCAATGGCATGAAACAGGAAAGAATTTTAGGCAAAAACAAACAAAAAAACATTCCTTTTCAACGTAAAAAAATTCTTCTTTTTTTTTTTTTTAAAAAGATTTTATTTATTTATTTGACACAGAGAGAGAGAGAGACAGCGAGAGAGGGAATACAAGCTTGAGGAGCGGGAGTGGGAGAAGCAGGCTTCCTGCAGAGCAGGGAGCCCCACAGGGGTCTTAATCCCAGGACCCAGAGATCAGGACCCAAACTGAAGGCAGATGCTTAATGATTAAGCCATCCAGGCACCCTGTAAAAACAAATTCTTAAATTCTATTTCAATAGGAACTCACAGGACCAACCTGACAATCAGTTCCATCCACACTGGAAATCCCTGTGTCATGGGGAAGCCTAGACTCCATCGTCCTGAAAGGGGTGTCCCAGACACAGACCAGAGTAACACACCAGGTCATGAGACAATCAAAAATGTTTTTCTTAACAAATATTCCCTTAAAAGGGAGAAACTTTGTGAAAAAATGTTCTTGTTTTTGTTGTTGCCTTTTATTGAGAGCTGTTTTACTCTAAGCAAAAACAGCAATGCATTTATCTTCTGAAGCTTGTTTGTGAGCTCATTCTTTCACTCAATTGATTCAAATATTTATTGAGCATTTCTTAGGCACCAGGCACAGCCTCTTCCCCACTCTGAGGTTAGTGTGGATACTAACAGAGGAAATGCTTTATATTCTTGAAGCGCTTATGTGTGTCACCACATAAAGTTCAAAATAGTCACCGATTGTAAAATGCAAGGTACCACTTACATATTTCCATATTTCTCTGCTAATCCAAAAATATACCACAAGAAACTCTAAAATACAGGGTTCCTGGTGAGCCAAACTCAGTCTTTATGACAGTGAGGGGTATAACTATTATGGACCCAAAATATTCTACTACTATATTTGAAAATGAATATCTTGATATTATAAAATCATCCAATATGAGTGTAGGGATTTCCATTGGAGGCCAAGCAGTATTAGAGAAGTGTATTGCCTAATTTGACTAGAATTGCTGAGAGCCTGTTGATTAATACATGCTGTGGCCTGTATTACCTCTTTCACTTCAGGCACAAAAGTGCTGCAAAAGGAGGTTGGTTTTGTCAGCTACTTATTGGCTAGAGATACTGCAGTGGCTTAGGAATTTCTTGAAACACTGAGATCACGGACCTCCCTACCTAAAAATTCAGCAGGAAACAAGAAAGTCTGTCCACCATGGAACTATGAGGGTCAAAACCTATGTTACCATTTGCTTCTTGAACTTAGAGGACTACCACTTCACCCCGGGAATCCTTACTTTATCCAAATAAGAAAGAGGGTAACAGAACCTCTTCTTACACTGTGCGCTGTTGTGCTGTAGAAAGTCTATCCACCCAGGAACAGTCAGGGCAGGAATCTTGAGTGCTGTTGATCACCTATGGAAAATAGTGGCACAAACCAAAACAAAAACAGCATTCAACTGATAATCACCCTGGTGTCAAGAAGATTTTCAATGTTTTTAATCTTTCTTTCTCAAACAGACTTTAAAATAGGAGCACGTGACACTATGCATTCTGATCCTGGGCCTATCTTCAGATTGGAACATTTGTGATTCTGTTACTCTTTCATTCAGAAAAGGTTGGGCAGTTGGCAACTTCTCTGTTTACATTTTTTCAGTCTAACCTATGGCTATTTTGATACATCTATCAAAAGTAACGTAAGTTAACAATGTTTATGTTTCATCTGCACGTTTTAATAATCTATAAAAAAATTAGAACCAACGAAAACTCATATTCTTCTATGGGATACTTAAAATGGACAGGTACTTTTTAAATTCAGTTTTCTTTAACTGAATTAGTTAATAAAACATTTCCAGCCATGTTTCTTGATGAGGTTAAGATTCATTTTTAGGTTAATATTCTAAGTCAAGAAAAATTATAGGCCAATGTATAATAGTTCTAATGTCAAATGTAATCATCTTTGCATTTTAGCTGAAATTACTTTAATGTGATACTCCTGATGCCTTTGTAAGAGCTAAGAGACTGGATTTGAATTACTGGTCATGTGTTCACGCAAGTTTGGTAACAATGCTTTTTTTCAGTGATGAGGAGCTCATAATGTATGGCTGCCTATTACGCAATCATGCAGTTTATGCATCTTTACACTTGGTTTGCTTATACCCTTCCACCGTGCCTAGAAAAATCTAAGGCAGTTAACCTATTATGTATCTTTTTCAGAGTTGCATTTTTCTTTTTCTCTCCCTAGGTGTGAAGAGTGGTTGGACAGCAAGTATGTGAATCCCTAGGGGAGGTAAGGAATATTGGACATTTCACTCTGTCTCAATTCCTCCATTCTCTCTCTGCAACATTTTCCAGATTAGAGATGTCTATAGGTTAATAAATCTCTTTCCTTTTATCCTGAAGCTAATTATTAGTTAACTTTAGTGTTAACTTAACTAACATTTCAGTCACGTTATTCGATAAGCGTTTTGAAAGGGGAAGAAGGAAGGGAGAAGAAAATGTTAATTTTGAAGTAGGGAGTAGAGCCTGCACCTTCCAGGGAGACAGTGTGGCTGTGGGGGTGTAGGGCTCTGGCTTTTCTGAGGGCATTCGGATAGCACTGGACCCAGAGCAGACAGAAGAGAGACTTGAAACAGGAAGGACTGGAGTCTGGCTCATGGCCATGGGGGTTTGCCCTGCAATCACTTTTGCGTATGTAGCCACTGGCCCTTGTGCTTTATCAGATCTCTTATAGGTTGTTCCTGTTTAATATAGATTTGCTACTCCAGACTAATTCAGGTTCTTCAAGGTCAAACAGCAACTTCTTACATATTTCTTGTCATTACCTTTGAGTGGAACAGGATGTGATGAAAGAGAAAAAGGAAGAAAATCAAGTACTACTCCTCCTTTCATACAACTTGATTTTTTCTTTCACTGGTTGCCTCTGAGCTATTCCTCACTGCTCTCCCCTGGCTACTTTAAGACCTCCTTCCTCCCTCTTTCTTAAGTAACTTTCATATTACTCTTTTGTACTTAGGGTCCTCCCACCGCAGAAATCCTTAAGCCATTCCAAAATATGGGCTTGTATATACACCTTCTAGTTGGGATCTACCATTAACAGATATAAATAGACCTCTGAGTTTGCTGAGAAGCTTTCCTGTGGCAATCACGATTGGTTGCCACATAGACCTAACTATAATAAATACGCAAACATAGTGTAAATGGCCTTGAATGAAAAAAAAAAAAAAACACTACCTTCTCATCTGTTTCAAATCTTCCTTTTATCCAAATTTTATGTTTCAAATCATATTGTTTCTCACACTGTACTCACATGATCTGTCATTAATGGTGTGGTGTCCACAGAACACATGTTATTTGGTATTTCACTTTTGATGAACAAAAATATGAAAGCACTGTAAAGAAAATAAATTTTAGTGATGTTTATCATAACCCTGGTTCATAACAAGCTGCCTGCATTTTATGAGAAAACACAGCTTAAATCCAGTCCTAATGCTCGGATGATTACTGCCATGCTGCTTCTCCAGGGGTCCTGCCGTTTCTCTAGGATGTCATTCTCTTTGACATCTCCTGTGTCCTGAAATGCAATGAGTTAGAAGCCTAACTCATGAAATTTCCCCTCAAATCAGATCTTTCTCTTGATTTTCTTGTTTCAGTCTATAGCTGCATCTTTCTTTTATTCTTGCTTATCTCTGGAATCACATGATTAAAAAAAAATACAAGTGAAAACCACCTGTTATACTGACAAAACCCTAGACGTTTAACAACATCCTTGATGGACAAACTTCAGCAGACAGGCGCCACGGGTGTGAGCAGAGAACTGCACAGCCCCCATGGAAGAGATGCCGTGGCCACTACACCCACACTCAGATGAGGCAGTCTTCACGGTCACACAACAGAATGCTTCATAGATATAAAAAAAGAAATGAGGACACCCTCTGTGCTCTGATACGGAAAGATCTCCAGAGTATATTTTAAGAGATGAAAACACATGCATAAGCCTAATGACTTCCCCGCTTTGACATTCTTGCATACTGCATTTTCTATTCATGTCCAGTATCTTTGTAACAAATGCTTCGCTTACCATTATTGACTTTTGAACCATGCAAATAGGTTAAAATGTGTTAAAATATTAAATTAACTTAAGGAAATTAACAACTCTGGTATACTTTTGACATTCCTTTTTAAAAATATGTTTGCATGGGGACACCTGGGTGGCTCAGTGGGTTAAAGCCTCTGCCTTCAGCTCAGGTCATGATCACAGTGTCCTGGGATCGAGCCCCGCATCGGGCTCTCTGCTTAGCAGGGAGCCTGCTTCCTCCTCTTTCTCTGCCTACTTGTGATCCCTGTCAAATAAATAAATAAAATCTTAAAAAATATGTTTGCATGGTTCAAAAGTTAAAGATATAAGAGCAGTTTTCAAAGTACAGAGGAGGCTGAAATAGTGTAGGTAGCAAAGGACAGACAAGTGCTGATAATGTGTGATTTTTTTTAATACGAATTTAAAATTTCTTAGTTAAATTTCTTAGGTCAGCCTCTTACTTGCTTTCAAAAGTTGAATGGTTCCATATTCCCTTCTATAGCAAATGTAACTGTCCTTTTTGAGTTTTATTACTCTCTGCATTATGTTCCCCATAACCTACTCCACATAATTCTCCACAGTGACTTTCGTCTCTGACCTGTCCCTGCTCCAGCCTCTCTGCCACCCCCATCTTCCACAACCACCTGCTCTTGCTTGTTTCTCTTTCTTAGTTGAACACAGCACACACTCTCCTCTTATCCACACTAAAGAAGAACTGAAGGCTGAATGTGACAAGAATCCTCCCCGTTCCCAGGTTGGTCCTCACTGACTCTTCCTCTTCTCTGAATTCCCACAATACTAAGAATAGTCATCGCATAATCCAGACCATTTACCACAAGTCCTTGTGAACTTTTTTCTCTACAGATTCAATGGAAGATAAGATCTCCTTCAAGATCCTCAAAGCGCTTGACACTCACTAAGAATGAATGCATGAAACCTAATTAAACGTGTGTATCTTAGTTAAATGTGTGCTTACATATCTGCTAATTTGCAAAGCTATTATTAGACATCTCAATTGCATTTTCTTCTCAAAATTATCATGAAAACCCTCAACTTTGTATAGATGAGTATGTTTTCCTAATGACAATATAAGATGGTATATTAGAAATACTTGAACGGTACCAAGGAGAAAGTCTTTAAGTGTTTCTTCAAACAACTGTATGACCTCCCACAAATCACTTAGGCTCTCTAAGTCTCAACTTTTTCCATCTAAAGAAATGGGGATGGGCCAATTTTACTGAAATGTGATGAGAACTAAGTAACAATGCATGCAAAATGCTTAGCGTACTTTTGGGAACATGGTAAAATCTCAAAATATGTTAGGAAATAAAGAGAATATTGGATGGGAGGGGGGTTTTGAGCATGAGAAAAAAAAATCAGGACCAAGAATTCAGTGGTTTTGAGCTCGTGTGACCAGTGTTTGTCACAAAATAGGTAAGTCAGATCAGTTAGGTCAAGAGCGGGTGCAGGGCACTAAGTTAGGACAAGGTAATGAAATTTATCTTATGCATACGAACATAAAACCAAATAGATCACAAGGCCTTTTGGACTACAGACTTACAGAACTTGGTACAGTGTCTAAGACACAAAGATATATGATAAAGTTTGTGAATATTGTCAAAAGCATGGAAAATTAAAAAAAATCAATGTTATACATAGGAGTGCTTCTCTACATTTTTGATCTTTCCAGTTTCCCTAGATTTGTACCTCTATACATCTTGCTATTAATAGAACTTGTTTTTATGTGTTTACCCTGACAATTTAACAAGCCTTTATTGGGCATCTTTTAAGTTTCAAGCACTGTGTGGCAAAGTCTAATGGTGATGGTGGGAGAGATGGTATTTCAAGAAAATAACAGACTTCATCCTTCAAAGGATCTCACAGTTCAAGGATAAAGGAATTGTAAGAATAATACAAAACAGATCCTTCAAAAATAAGAGTTCAAGATGCAATGGAAGTTTAGGAGCAACTCACTCTAATTAGGAAGAAGGGAAATAAAGAAAATAACACAAGAAAACAACCCAAGAAATCTCAACTGATATTTACAGGAGGCCAAGGAAGCTGAGGAAAGTGTCTTTGGGCTGGGGGAAGTGTCTGGGGTATGGTGTGATAAATAATCTGGGTCAATGAATTGATAATACAGGGAGAAGGCTAATCTAGGAAGGGTTGAATCTGTGATGGTGGAGGACATACCAGACTAAGGAGACAGATTTATTCTGAATACAATGGGAGTCTTCCAAGGTTCTTAATTAGAAGAGTGATGATTGATACAAGATACAAGAAAGTTACACTGGCAATAGAAAAAAAATGGAACTAGGTAAAGTAGATGTGAGTTTGTTTTTAATTACCTCATTTCTATAAACTTTTGAAGGTTTACAGTACTTAAAGTATTTTTGATTCTATGTATGTAGGTTAAAAAAATAATTTTCTTTCATAAAATAGAGGAACAACCAATTTTACCACCAAGTAAAAGTTACAACTGGAATTCTTTTCTAAATTAGTCCAAAGTGGCATTTTAGGAACTTAGTTCTAGGCTGCTGCAGTGACACCATGACAAACCAAAGTGCAGGGTTGGGTCTGGTTTTGTTTCGGTTTTCTTCTCAATATCCAATGCTCATGGATTAAGTTCTGGAACTGTTCGAGTTGTCAGGCAGAGATCTGCATCCCTGCGACCCAGGAATAAACCCCATTTGATTGTGGTGAATAATTTAATAATTATTAATTAATAAATAAAAATAAAAATAAATTAATAATTTAATGTACTCTTGAATTCAATTTGCTAATATTTTATTAAGAGTGTTGCATCTATGTTCATTAGATATATTGGCCTTTTGTTCTCCTTTTCAGTGGGGTCTTTGCCTGGTTTTGGAATTAAGGTAATGCTGGCTTTGTAGAATGAGTTTGTAAGTTTTCTTTCCATTTCTATTTTTTGGAACAGTTTGAGAAGAATAGGTATTAACTCTTCTTTAAATGTATGGTAGAATTCTCCAGGGAAGCCATCTGGCCCAAGGCTTTTATTTGTTGGGAGATTTTTGATTACTGATTCAATTTCTTTGCAGGTTATGAGTCTGTTCAAATTTTCTGTTTCTATCTGTTTCAGTTTTGGCAGTTTGTAGATTTCTAGGAATTTGTCCATTTCTTCCAGGTTGCCCAGTTTGTTGCTGTATACATTTTCATAATATTCTCTTATATAATTGAACTGTTTGGATTCCACCACAGGTATGCTCCTTGGGTTGGATGCTGGAGGGTGAGGCACGTTTTGCCAGACCCATGTCGACTACCTAGTAGTCAGCAAGGTCAAAAAATTCATCATCTCCTCCTTGGTATTCCATTCTCTGGAAATCTACTTGGTACTGCAAGATAACCTCCAATTCTACCAAATCCTTTCACAAACTGAGATCCTTCTTGTGACTCTGTGACAATCCAACACAGCACCAAATTTTTTATAGTTGTTAGCAAACCATTCCAGCAGGGGTGTGCTCTCAATCAGCTCATGTTCTTGTCCTGTCTCTTTGTCTGTGAAACGAGATTTATCCTTCTCTTGTTCTGGAGTTAGATAATTTTTTCCTCTTTGTGTTTTGGCAATGAAGACTGTATCTCATTATATCCAGACTTTCACAGACTTTTAGAATCTCTACAACTTCCATTTCTAAAGCCTTTAGTGTATCTTGAACTCCAAAACAGTACTTGCCTGTGTCCTGGCTGATTTCATCAAAATCTTCTCTTTGAATGAATTTCACATTGGAGAGGGCTTCAGTAGATAATAGCTTGGTTGAATCTATTTTCACAACCATAGGAAATATCAACTAATTTTAAAACTTTTGATTGCAACCTCTGATCAAACATATCAGATTGATTTAGTTCAGTTTTAAAGTCAGCTGATTCGGCTAAAACCAGACCAGCCACATTCACTTTGTCCCCAGAAATAAGCAGCTGAATAGCAGTCTCAGCTACTTTCCGAACATAGCTACGTCACTTTTCCACTCTTAAAAGAGCAAAACACAAGGCTGATTGACTTCCTTTACCATGTTTCTTTGGGAGATCCACAGTGAATTTGTGCACAACTTCTCTTGTGTTTCCTTGGAGTGTGCCAAAAAGTGCACCATTACCATCTATTACTACCATCTATCTATGAAGCCAAATTTGCTGTCATCCAAAAGGAGCACTGTGAGAACCTCTGTATGGAATTTGTTGTCACACAAATACAATGATGTGTTAATTGGTTTGAGAGGTTCAAAGTCAATGTTGACTTTCTTTTCTTCTCCTTCTTCTGTTACAATTGTACCACAGTAAACAACCAGGCCATTTGGAGGTACTTTGTTTAAAGCTTGTGTCTCTATTGTACAGATGTAATGGCTCTCAGAACTAAAGGGCATTTTACTTGGGACTTAATGTTAGATGCAGTTCCAAACTCATCTGCTAACATTTTTGCAGCTGGTGGAATCTGGTCTTTGGGAGGAATGATCAATGATATCATGCTTGTGCCATTGCTGTGGGCCGCCTCCAAGCTCCTGATGAGCTTCTTGATCTTCTAGGCCTCCATGTTCCTGTTGGCAGCACTGAGGTCATCTGTCATCTCTCCTCCCTAAGGGCCTAAGCCTAGGCAGCAGGGGCTGCTACTCCCTGGCCGTGGCTCTGAGATTTTTTTTTTTAAGATTTTTATTTATTTATTTGAGAGAAAGAGAACAAGCAAGCAGGGTGAGAGGTAGAGAGGGAGGGAGAGAGAGAACCCCAAGCAGACTCCAAGCTGAGTATAGAGCCTGACTAGGGGCTTCATCTCATGACCCTGAGATCATGACCCTGATATCATGATCTGAGCCAGAACCAAGAGTCAGACGCTTAACCAACTGAGCCCCTTAAGGGACCCTAGATGTGAGATTTTTACAATCATATACAAGTGAATTTATATTAAGGAACTGGGGGAAAGGAGAGAAAGAACCTGTGAAACATTAGGAAAAAAATGTTTACAGGATTAGATATAGGATGGGATATGAAAGGGGAAAAAACTCGAGATGACTAGAGTTTTTAATTTGAATAACTATGGCTATTACATTCTATGAGACTGGGAACACAGGAAGAAGAACCAGTTGACAGGGAAGGGGAGAACAAGAAAAGTAATTCTGACTGGGAAATAATGAAGGTAGAGAGAAAAGAACTAACGGCTAGTGTCTATAGACTGCTGACCATGTCCTGACCCAGCAGGGTTCTCTCTTCCACTGGTTATCTCACCTCAGGCTGGGGAGGAGGTGCTGGGGGCATCTCGGTAGAGATGTGGAGTTTGACCCTAGTTAGATATAAGGACTGTGGCTCTGAAGAAAGGTAAGGGCTGGAAACAAAAACCGGTTTCCTTACACACAACTCTCCAGGAACAGCAAGTTGAGAAAGAAATAGGGAGCAGACTCAAGTATAATCCAAAGCACTTTTTTTTTTTAATTGGAAAAGAAATTGGCTTTTTAATGAACTCTGACTCCTGGATCTTCATTTAGGTTTGTTTTAGAGAACACTGTTCTTGGTGTCTGCTTCACATCCACTCTTATATATTCTCTCCTGAACCGTGGTGCCTAGAAAGCTGAAAACCGTGTCTTCCCAAACTCTATTAGCAGCTAAGTTTTGCCAACAAGAGGCATAAGAATAGGCTTAAAAGTTGGGAGAGGCTGTTTTGTTTTGATGGTGGCTCCAGTAGTTTCAGCAGTGGTGGTAACTCAGGGCAGAGGCAGCTGGGCTGGCTGGCGCGTGGGCTCCAGGGCTTTGGGCAGAGCGCCCTTCCTCCTTTTGCACCACTGGGCCTTATTGAAATTTTGTGAAAATTTTCCTGTGTGAAATGCTTTGCTGTTTAAAATACCTGGAGTTGGGGTGCCTGGGTGGTTCAGTCGGTTAAGTATCCGACTCTTGATTATGGCTCAGGTCATGATCTCAGGGTCATGAGACTGAGCCCCTCATGGGGCTCCATGCTAGGCGTAGAGCCTGCTTAAGATTCTCTCTCCCTCTGCCAACCCCCTTCCCGAATAAAATAAAATAAAATAAAATAAAATAAAATAAAATAAAATAGTAAAATACCTAGAGTGATTTTAGTTGTAGAAACCGAGTGATACCACATATAGGAAAAATGTAAGGCTAGAAACAATCTATCTCACCTATCCTTTTAAAAAGAAAAGCAACAGGAGGTGATTAAACAAATGTGACCATATTCTAAGTTTCCTTATACAGGCCATGAAACTCCAAGCTAATTCAATGAATGCCTTTTGAACTAACTGATTTAATAGAGTTAAAATAATGAAACAAAAGCTTCCAGAGGTCCTCTTGGTAAAGAAACCCAGAAGGGAGTTGGAATGCCCTACAGGAAGAGATAATCACATTTCTGTGGCACAGACTAAGCTCCAAACCAAACCGCATGATCTCCAAGTGCACCGACAGCTTACTACAGAGCTGAATAACACACACCCCCAGGGGAAACCAGTAATTGAACATGAACTAGCTCTTGATACAAATAATGATTATTATAGTACAAATTACCCAAATTTTAGAGCATTAGTCATCTACCTAGCAATATACAAAGCACTTAGCATATTTCTTTTCATTTCATCTTCAAAATATTTTATAAGGCTGACACAATTATTTCCCTCACTTTAGCCCCAGATGAAGAAACCAAGACTTGGAGAAATTAAGTGATTTGCCCAAGGGCATACAGATAGAAGCGGGTAGAACATGGATAATTTGCCATTTTAGAGAATGGACACTTTCTAAAGAAAGAAGAAATATGGAGAAGAACAATGCCTGACAGACTGAATAAATTGGCCTTAAATTACTATTAAGTCAAAACTAAGGCATGCTACATTACAATTTTGGGGTGTAAAGAAATTGTTTTTGGGAGAGCTATTCAAAGCTAGGATGCTATGTGAATTGTACAAAATACATAAAATTGCCTCTAACCAAAAATGTCAGGAATCTGCTTTTTTAGAATAATCTATGTTATTTCTTCTCCAATTGGCCTGGAACCACTCTCTTAGGCAACATTTCAATGACAAAGAGATTGTTCCTGAATGTGGCAGGGGAAAAGCCATCATTGCAGGAGGAAGAGAAATAGAGTGTTCTTTCCCTGAAGAATAAAAAAGTACTAAAATCTTTCCAGGCATGGCTATCCATTATGTGAAGCACTGATGGGGAATATAAATGGAGACTAGAAAGGAAAGGGGACTGAATTTAAGGTGACCTAATTCCTGCTGGAGTTTTATTGATTGAACACTGACCTATAGAGATTTAAAGTCATTTTCATCTTCATTCACATAGTGCATATGACTAGACACAGATACATCCCAAAACACATATTTAAATGAATACATGTTTTCATATGTGAGAGAGTAGTTATCTGACTGGGATGAGCAGAGATGAAGTGACAGCAGGTGGGGGTGGGGCGGGGGGGGTGAGGGGTGGGCAAAGAGGAAGTGAGTAATGAGAGAAGATAAGAGGAGAGAATCAAGGACTACTCCAGGGGCACTGGGGAGCCAGCATAACATTTATTTATAGAGTATAGTTGAGTTTGCAAAATAATGTGCCTTTTGATTCTAATTTAGGAGCTATGTACTAAGATTTTTCTAAAGATCACAGATAATGAAAATGAGCTTCAAAGCAGCTCAGTGATTTTCCAGGGATCTCAGAGCTTTTGAGACCTAAAGCTGGGGCTTGGGGCTTGGGACCCCAGAGCTGACACTTTTGTCCTCGAAAGCCAAATCTGTGAATATAAATGAAGAATCAGAGGGCAAATCATGGCACTTTAATGAAATGCAGGTTTAAAAAAATGTAAACACATTGGGATCTCTGAAAGGCATTCTAAACTTTTAGAAGAAGAGTTAAGTCCGAAACGACTGTGTACCTCACTACTGATAATCCAGCTCCGACGTAATTTAGCACCGGTTTTGGTACTTCTTCTGCATCCATTCCAAACCAGCCAAACCTGGAATTGAGAAAGCTGCATCAGCGTAGCTATTTTTGAAAATGTGTTCATCACAGTGTTCAAGAGCATGGACTCAGGGTCAGATCCCTGGATTCAAATCCTACATCCCTCTCTTACTAACTGTGACTTGAACAACTCTTTGCGTGCCTCAATTCCTCATGTTTAAAATGGGATACCTATAAGGTAGATATAATTGTCATATATATCCCTTCCTTCTTATAAAGATATCTAAAATGAGTTAGTATACATAAAAGTTCTTGTGAGTGTCCTTTCTTATTAAGATTAAGGAAGAAGGAAAACAAAATACATTAGTGGCTCAGTGAATCCTAATTAATTGGCTGCAATTTTGTACAGTGTTTATTGAGACAGACGTTTAAGTAACTGCTTGGTTAAAGATCACAACGTTTTGGCATCACCTTTTTTTTTTTCATGCCTTGACATCAACTGTAGCATTTGTTACTAACAATTACTGTTAGTACTGTTGCCCATTCAGGGCAAGAATGAAAGAGGCAAGTAGAAGAAGCAAAAGAAAATACACCTGTGAGAAGCTGGTAAAAGAACGGGGAAAGGCCAGGAAAGAACAGATTGGAAGTTCATTTGTTTTATTATTACTGAGGTTGTTATAATGCTTTGAGAGGGAAGAGGAGCCCCAAAATTAAGGTAAGAGTGACACCCTCCTTTGTATTCATTTTCCCAAAGTCCACTTGAGTGTTAATTTGAATACCGAACAAGGGCAGCACAATCAAATAGAAGTTTCTATGATAATGGGAGGGGGGGTCTTCTACAGGTGCACAGTTTAACAGGGTAGTTTCTGGCCATCTGTGGCTATTGAACACTTGATCTATGAGCAGTGCAGCATGGAACTGAATATTTAATTTTATCAAATTTTAATTTAGCCATGTGGCTTATGGTGACCCTGCTGGACTCCTCCAGAGCTGGGGCTGGCAGGGGCCAGAGAGTAGATATTATAGGCTTTATGGGCCAGATAATCTCTTGCAATTACTCAGCTCTGCCACTATAGCATAAAAGCAGCCAGAGACAATATGAAATGGATGGGTTTGGTTGTGTTCCAGAAAACTTTATTTACAAAAGTGGCTGGGAAGGTGGGCCATGGTTTTTTGACCATGGCCCAGGATCCAGAAGGAATATGTGCTTTAGAACTAGAAGACCTGGGTTTGAAGCCTAGCTTATTCATTCCGTGACATTCAGCAAGTTACTCAGTCTCCTTGTCTCTCAGCTCTCTTATAAGGCAGTGCTTACCTCATGCTTCTGAAAATGAGAGGAGAATGATGCATATAACATGTCCAAGAAATTGTCACACAATAAAAAAGGGAAATGCACATCAGTTTCCCTCCTTTCTTCCTTCTTCTGGTCTGAGGAATTAATTTTTTACTGTATCTTAACCAAATATTTAGATGGGATATTAGAATTTCAGGCAAATAATAATTAAAAGTAGCATATTTCATGTGTATGTCTTACCAGCTATAATCTCTGTGAGGGTAAAAACCAGGTTATTCCTCTCAGCTAGCCCAATCCCTAGGACTTGCCTTACATCAGTGTAGAGAATCTTAGTTGAAATTGCTTTGTGTTACCTTGAGCTTGCCCAGCCAGTTAAGGTATTAAATGATCCCCAGATTAAGATTCCAAGGCCTAAACCAATGGTTTTGATAATTGGGACAACAGCAATGTTCCCTGGAGATATAACATACAGAAAAAAATATGTTATTTCTAATACAAAAATAAATTTATAAATTGAATTAATTTTTTAAAAAAGATTTATTTATTTATTTAACAGAGGGAGAGATCACAAGTAGGCAGAGAGGCAGGCAGCGGGAGAGGGGGAAGCAAGCTCCCTGCTGAGCAGAGAGGTTATATCCCAGAACCCAGAGAACATGACCTGAGCCGAAGGCACTGAGCCACCCAGGTGCCCCAAATTGAATTAATTTTTAACTTCAGATGAAGTTTATGGGATTTGGACAAATTTAGGAAAGCACAAGTACAATTCCTCAGTTTTTAAATAAAATAACTATGCTTTTGGGCATTAAACTCAGGTTGATGATTGCTAAAAGAACTAGGCATAAAACAAAATCCTACAAAGAAGTATGATGAATTAGCTCTTTGCCTAATTGCACCAACACTCTTTATCCTTAACGTAGGTCTCTATTCTATAACTTCTTGTAGAAACTGTCAATGATAAAATCAGTGGTGACTGTCCTCTTAGACTTGAACCAGAGCCAAAGACCAGAAGTCTTTGGCCCAATATGGCCCCAGACTATGCTCTCCCATGCTCACTGACATACCTTCTAGAACCCTGTATTCAGTGCTTTGTGCTCTGGAAGGTCACTCAAGGCCAAATGCATGATTTTTTTTTTTTTTTTAATAGTTCTTAACCACTCAGCAGTCTGGCCTCAGTCCTGCAATCTTCTCTTGAAAGATTTCCTCTGGTGGCTTCCAAGATGCCTTCATTTCCTGATTCCTTCTTGTCTCTCTCTGTCACAGGCTACTCTTTCTTGTCAAGTGTCTGGATTTAGGTGCCCCCTAAATATTTCCCCTTGAACACATTCTTCCTCTTGCTATATAGCCTTCTTTGGGCACTTGCCCTTTCAAGATTTCAGCTATCAATTAGAGACACATACTCCCAGTGCTATTGCTCTAGCCTGGACCTTCTCCACAGTTTTAGTGCCTCTTCCCAACAAGAGATCTCCAACCAGATGTCCCCCAATGTGGGAACAACAGGAACTTCAGTCTCAAAAGGTCCCAAACTGAACTCATCATTTTTCTTTTTGGACACATACTTCTATTTTCATCACCTGTATCAGTGATACCACCACCCTCCTAATCACCTATGATAAAATCCCTACATCATCATTGGCTGCTCCCTTTCCTCTACTCCCCATCTCCATTCTGTTACTATGACCTATAGCATCCACATCTGCAACATTTCTCAAATTACAACCCTCCCCACTGAATCCCAATAGAGCCTGCTGGGTAATTATAAATATTATAGTTGTTATAAAGAGCTGTAGGATACAGTGAGCTTTCTGTTTCCCTCTCCCCATTAGATGTGATAAACATAATTGTACCAAGGTATAAATGAGGTATAATAATTTAAATTCCAGTGGAAATTTAAAAGTGAACTCTTTTGTCCTCCAACTCAGGAACTTCACTAAATCATTTAATTCTGCAGAGATTCAAATTTAGTGGGTACCCAATAAGTTTTTAATATTTTAAAATTTATTTGCTTTTAATCAAATTAACCTCCAAAAATCCTTGATACTTGGAAATCTTTTTGCTAAATAGAATAGAATTCTCCTGGGATATACTTATATTAATAGAAGAAAAACTGTCCTGACGGGCCAAAGGTATAAATTCCAGTTACATAATTTCAGATATTGTTAAAGCAACAGAGGGAAGATTTTTGTTTGCCTTTTTTTTTTTTTTGCCAATGCTTTTGAAACGAAGATGTGTCTGCCAACTTTTAAGAACAAGTCTTAAATACTATATTAGTAGAGACTACTATTTAAAACAAATATTTCCCAATTAACATAGAGAAAAGAAAGCCTGGAGCACTTAATCTAATATATGAGTTATGCTTGAACAGAAAGAGAGCAACTGAAACATTTTTGCTATAATTTTTATCAGGAACTAAGAAAGAAATCATTAAGAGGAAAAAGTCAGAAAATGTACCCAAAATATTTATTGAGCATCGGAATGAAATGAATTTCTAGTATCTATGTCTAAGGATTATTCAGAATTGCTGTTTGTGCTATCTCTTTTTATTATGAACCAGAGTTATTGTGGTCATAGTATTAAGTGATTACCAAATAAATTAAATCATTCATTACCTGTTGCCCAAATGCAGCCGCCAACCATTGCAAAAGGCCAAAATTTAGGGCAATGTAATATCAGATTGACCACCACGGCAATCAACCATATGGCAGCACAAAGTACCCACTGGAGAAACATTCCTGGAAATAAAAGAAATTGGTTTCAGTGGTTCAAACTGATTTGAGTAAATTAACCCTTAGGGGTATCAAAGCAATATTATTAGAGGAATGGTCACCACTTACTGAATGCCTATGTGTAGATACTTTGCACACTTAATGTAATTTTTACAACTACTATGCATGATAGTTAACCCTAGTTTAAAGACGGAGAAAATGAATGTGAGATGAAGCAATGTGTCTCAACAGCTAATGTAGAGCTGAAATTTAAACCTACTGTTTACTCCAGAGCTTGCCAAGGACAGTGCATTCCTGCTTAACATTCTTTTGTTTGTTTCACCTGTTAGACAAATCAAGAATTTTCTACCAAAGAGTATTGGTAAGCCCAAATCTATATATTTTTATTCGAATGCCACACCTAGTGCCATCTTTCACCAAAACACAGCATTAAGAACTTCAGAATAGCACAATGGTAATTTAGACCATTCGGGATCATTTATACCACCATTGGGATAAACACAAAGCCACTTATGGCCACAGGTAGACCCCTCACAGCTAGAGGTTGAATGCCTGTGATGAGCCTGACAGTCCAAACCTAAGAATTCGCATTCTGGGTTGGGGCACTCTCCTTTCTGTGCTCTGGGTTGCCATCTGCCAGTTAGCTGAAGATGACATGGTGAAATGAAGTCTAGCTGTACCAGGCTTCTGTTCCTTCAAGGGTTTAGGGATTCATAGGTTAAAGAAATAGTCGATATAGGAAGAAATACTAGGGCAGGATAACTCACTGTAGCACTTCTGACTCTACCTGTGGAAGATTTTTGCCTATTTCAATTCAATCTCATGGTGGAGGAGAGAAAGAGAGGAAAAAAAAAAAAAGTGGCTGTTAGCCCCTAGGGCAAAAAAGGAAGATCACAGAGATGAAAGCGAACTTCATCTTACAAGTTCTCCATTTTACAATTGAGAACTGAGAACAGAAGAGATGGTGAGACTTGTCCAGGATCACAGTAGTTGGGAGACACCTGAAAACCAGTTCCTCTACCCCTCAGTATAGATTTTGTTCTTCTTTTAGTAGTTTCCATTTCCATCCTAATTCCAAAGAAAAAGAGGAGAAAAGCTCTGGGGGAAAAGATTTGTAATTCTATTAAGTAGTAGCAAGACAAAAGGAACAGAGGTGATAAAGTTAAGGGCTTCCTACCAGGTGTTCAGCATAACATCTGAACGTCTTCTTCTCTTGGCTATATATAGGCAGGTGGATTAAAAAACAAAAAACAAACAATAAACCTCCTGCTTCTCTTTCCCGAAGTTCACATTACAGTCAGGTCAACTTTAACATGCCACGTGCATTCCTAAAAACACCGCACTATGCAAAATCACATAATAAAAACCACAGTTTTTATGGGGAAAAGGGAACAACACTCAAAAAACATTTCATCAACAATGTATTTAAAGAAAAAGACAGGAACCTAGTTAAAAAAAAAAAAAAAAGACAGGAGCCCAATTAAAAAAAAGTACAGTTTTACACTGGCTAAGTGGTTAAATTCACAAGTATTACAATAAATATGGCACCTCAACTTGAAAAAGACTTGAAGGTTGCTTATGGGAGTGGGCATCAGAAGTGAGGCAGTTTGGAGCTATTGTGAAGCTGGTGGATGGGGGATCCTAACACCAAATGTGAACAGGTGTGGTACTGAGGAAGCCTTGGAATGTTGAGGGGTGTGTGAGCAAGCGCATCTCATGCTTTCCTATGTACCTTTATTCATCTGGGTGCCATTTTCTGTGCTCACCTAGTGTTGTATCAGAGTCAAAATGGCACATAAGCACAAAATCCATGTTGTGCTCAAACTGTTCTCTATTATATGAAGTGTGTTTGCAATTTGCGTTTTCAAAACAAGTGTATATTGGTAGAACTAACTTTCTTCTTCTGTAAACATAACAGATAAGGCTAAAAATCTTTCCTGATAGTCACTCTCCCAGCTTTACCATGAAACACAACCTTAAGACCAATCTATACTGACTAAATCTCAGAAAAAATGGAATGAGAATTATCGAAGGATTTATTCATAAGTTCTGTTCATGTGGTGCCAGGTAGAAGAAAATTTGTAGCCATCGTTAAAAACAAACAAACAAACAAACAACAACAACAAAACTACAAAAAAAACCACCAAAAAAAGAGAACTTCACATTTATACATAATTTAAAGTTAACTATGAAGGAAGAATAATTACCATCACCAGTATCGTATTTTTTAAGTGGTACAAAGTTTGAGCCAAACAAAAGGACAGCTATAGAAGAGGACACAAAACCAATGGTCAGGTCTGTTGCATTACTGCTCATGGTTCCAGTACTGCCTGGGAGTGAGCTGGTTCACTTTGCACTTGATGTCCTTTTCAAGAGCTTCTGAAATAAAATAAAAATAAAACCAGTAAGAAGTTGTGAGACTATGAATAAATTGTGATTACTATGTGATATTTATTGAGCTTTTCAAAAAGTAATGCTAAAATTCCTTCTTCCAGATAAAAAGTTAGGACACTATGAAATTATGTATTATGTTCATACTCCATGTTCATTTGGTTTTTTCTTTTATTTTACCAACATATAGTTTTTGATCATTAATCTACAATTAAAAAAAAAAACTTTGTCTTCAGAGCTTGAAAATCTAACTTCTTCCAAAATCTGGAGACAATTTTTTTTTTTTTTTTAAGATTCATTCACTGATTTGAGAAAGAGAGAGAGAGTGGGAATGAGGGGGAGAGGAGAGAGAGAATCCTTAAGCAGCCTCCCCACTGAGCTCAGAGCCCAACTCAGGGCTCCATCCCAGGACCCCAAGATCACAAACTGAGCTGAAACCAATAGCTGGATGCTTAACAAACTGAGCCACCCAGGAACTTCTGCAGATAATTCTTATTATATTATAAAAAAATTCTCTTCTGTACGTGGACTGGCATAATGAAAAGATTTGTGGTGGACCAGGACTCAATTTACTTCAAACGGTTGTTGTGACAATTAAAAATGAAATGACAATTAATGACAATTAAAAATGTGAAGACTTTCAGAACTTACAGTCTGGGGAGCCTGGGCTGCTCAGTTGTTTAAGCATCTGACTTTTGATTTCAGCTTAGGTCATGATCTCAGGGTTATGAGATCGAGTCCCATTTGGGGCTCTGCCTTAGGCATGGATCCTGTTTGAAATTCTTTCTCCCTCTGCCCCTGCCCCTCTTTTTTATATAAATATATAAAAAAAGAACTATCAGTGATTCAAAAGCAAAAGCTTTTTAAAAATTTCAGATAGGAGCTTAAGGGCACATGTAGATTGTGTTGCTGCTATAGATTCAGGGATTATGTAGAGACAAAGGCACTATCCTCATCAGTAGTACCCTCATGGTGTGTATTAGTTGAAGTAGTTCATGAAACCTTATATCTTTATGACTTAAAAAGAAAAAATAACTAAACAGATAAAAGAATCCTTTAAAGATCTCTTCAAGAATTTCTTAAATCTCTTCAAGGTTTAGGTCCTTGAGGTATCCCTTCAGGAACCTCCTAAACTCTTTTTTTTTTTCTTTTTAACATTTTTTCTTTAAAGATTTTATTTGTCAGAGAGAGAGAGAGAGAGCACAAGCAGGGGGAGTGGCAGGCAGAGGGAAAAACAGGCTCCCTGCTGAGCAAGGAGCCTGATGCCGGACTTGATCCCAGGCCACCCTGAGCCACCTAGGGATCCCTATCCTAGGCTCCTAAGGATAGAGAATAAACTGAGGGTTGATGGAGGGAGGTGGGTGGGGGGTGGGCTAAACGGGCGATGGTTAAGGAGGATACTTGTTGTGATGAGCACTGGGTGTTATATGTAAGTGATGAATTACTAAATTCTACTCCTGAAGTCAATATTACAATATATGTCAATTAACTAGAATTTAAATAAAAAATTGGAAGGAAAAAAAAAGGAATCTCCTAAAATACAAGAATGACAGTGGTATGGGCACAATACTATCACCTGGTCAGTAGAACAATGTGAGGCAGTTAACCATCTGTGGAATCTAGTAGCCACTAGCCACATATGGCTAACTAAATTTTCATTAAAATTAGGTAAAAAAAAATCAGTTCCTTAGCCAAGGTAATTAATATGAAATGCTTGATAGTCACATATAGCCAGTAGTTATCTGAACAATGCAGATGATAGAATATTTCCACCATTAGAGGAAGTTCTATTGGAGAGCCCTGCTAAGCTTATCAAAAAGTTCTGGTTCCCTTTGAAGAAAAGGATCCAAACCACAAAGAGCCAAGAATCAGACATTCTTCATAACATTAGAAAAGGCTATTGAATATAATTTACTCTTTTAGTTGTATAATCTACCTGAGGAAAAAATAACACAAATGAGTCAGTTTATCATAGGAAGTAATCAGAATCTTCCCACAATATCATTTTGAAATTATATTTTGTGCACTGACTTTTTGGTTCACTTCATCTCCTTAAGCCCTCTGGAATGGAAGGTAATCAATCCAGTCTTTTTTTCCCTCCAAATTTAATGTTATGATGACTTCTTGGGGTATGTGTTGAATAAAGTACACCTGAAATCAGCTTTGCTGTTTTATTTTACAATGATATTTACCATAAAGGTATTTTAGGGCACCTGGGTGGCTCAGTCAGTTACACGTCTGACCTTGGTTTAAGTTCAGGTCATGATATCGGGATCCTGGGATTGAACCATGCATGGGGCTCTATGCTCAGTGGGGAGTCTGCTTGAGATGCTCTCTCTTCCTCTATCCCTCCCTGCATCCCCCTCCATGCTCCTGCTGGTGTACTCTCTCTATCTCTCAAATAAATAAATAAATCTTAAAAAAAATAAAGGTGTTTCATTTTTCCATGTATTGTTCCTTATGTGTTCTTGCAGAGAATATTAAATATAGAACTGCCTATGACATATATCCTTTGGCATTATTAAGAATAATTTAACTGAAAACAGGGATAACTTCAAAATTACTCAATAAATCTTAGTAAGAAAAACATCTATTTGAAATTGTATGTGCTTTCTTAAAACAAACCAAAACAAATGCTGGTAAGACAATATCCTCTTTGGGGATGTAATTGAGGAAGAGACGCTGAGACATACTGAAACACTGACATAATAACACTACTTCAATAAAAATAATAGTCTTATTGTTAGGCACAAGTAAAGTTTAGCCCTGCAATGGCTTACATGGAATATCGCTCAAGAATCAAGCAGGTGTACTGCTGCTAAAATATCAGGACCGTAATAGCTCTGAGGAACTGGAGTTACCTGGGAAGGATATCACGGGACTAAGAAGACACGTGATTTGGTGATAGCTCAGAAATTAGTTTTTTTCCATTTAAATTAAAATAAGCAAAGTGAAACAAAACCTCTATAAACACAAACTGATAAGAGAATGCCTAACTTTCAGAAGTGGCAAATTATTTAAGTGAAAAGATGGCTTTATTAAAAACCATTGACAGCCCTAAACCTCTTAGATTTCATTGCTATTGCAGTAATAATTTGAAGAGCTAATCCGAGGGTATGAACTGCATTTTGACTGCTGAGTAAACATTATCAATATTAAAGTTATATCCTGCAAATAAATGAAATTTATTGCATACAGCTCCAGTACATTTCAGAAATCAAGTGACCTAATTTCAATGTGGGCTGGCAAGTTGGCAATACGCACCATTGTTAAGGAAGAATCTACCTTCCTAAATCAATAAAATTTATATGCAAAAGTGAAGCAATATCACTTTTAGCACATAACTCCCAATTCTTTTTAGTGCAGACTTGTTAACAAGTCTCAAACCACTTAAATAAAATAGTTTTTAAGTGCTTGCGGTCAAGTGTCCTCTGATATTTTATTCACTCATTTTTATTTTTGTACTTTTATTTCATTTATTTGTAAATGTTTTTCCTCTCAATTTTTCCTGTCAATTTAAACTTCTTTGTAGACCTTTTTTTGTTAGGACTTGGCACGTTCTAATCAATAATGCTTCTTCTACTGCGACTAAGATTTCAGTTTTAGTTTCATGTTAATTTCCTCAACTCTCCTGGCAAGATCTGCCGACATCCTCGGTAAAATTCTCAGTGCTTGAACATACTTATTCTGAGCTTTGATCTTTCTTTTTTTCTTTTTTATTCTGAGCTTTGATTTTTTCTTTCTTTTTAATCATCAGAGCATTCTGAAAAATCAGGAGACGCTCCACTGAAAGCTACCGGGTTCCTTCGAGTTGGTTGCTTGTACTCACTGCGCTCGGGGCTGCGCTGAAACTCCCTCCAGCTCAGCACCCACTCGGTCCGGTCAGTCTCCCCAGCGCCAGCGGCGGAGCCCGCACCCGCCTATTGCCCAGCTGCTGGGACAGCCCCGCCGGCCTTTACTTCCGGCTGGGACAAATAACCTATGACTGGGCGGGAGAAGGGCGGGCTCTAGCACCTATGACCCAGAGGTCTGTTGCCTCCGCGCGACCCGGCTGCCCAGCCAGCCATTATTTTCCTGCGGGGACAATTAGGGCACAACGCCTGGAGAAGGAGGGAGCACTGCAATAAAGGAGACGTGGAGGCCGCCCAGGGCTGCCGGTTGAGAAACACCTTCTCCAACTGCTGCGCGGGGAGCACGGTCTTGTGACTCACGTGACCCTGAGGAGGCGTCTTTGGGCTGTGTGTGGATCAACCAGGAAACTAGAAAGGCTTTTGTGTATTTTAAGAGATGATCGTTTAGGGAGCTCTGTGCGAGTCACCCTCTAAAGGTGACAGAGTTAGGTGGTATTTGTACTAATTATGGATGAAACAAAAGGCCAAGGAATTTCATACAATCATAAAAGGCTACCTAAAGCTGAATTTGTTATCACATCAAGAAATTCTTCTGAATCACTAATGTCAGTAACATCTCTGTGGCATCATAAGATTTCACTTGTAATCACTGATCATTTCTAAATGCACACAGACCGGTTTTTTGTATTTATCTAATAGGTACTAAGTACCATGTGAGAACATATGTTCTAGGCCTCTGAAACTTGATTGTACATTATGATCACTGAAGAGGTTTTCTGCTTTATTTAGGCTTTTTTTTTTTTTAAGGTTTTATTTATTTATTTGACAGACAGAGATCACAAGTAGGCAGAGAGGCAGGCAGAGAGAGGAGGAAGCAGGCTCCCTGCTAAGCAGAGCCGGATGCGGGGCTTGATCCCAGGACCCTGGGATCATGACCTGAGCAGAAGGCAGAGGCTTTAACCAACTGAGCCACCCAGGAGCCCCTGCTTTATTTAGTTTCTTAAAATACTAATACCTGGACCCGACAGCAGACCAGCTGAAATAGAATCTTTGGGAATGTGGCTTAGGTATCATTTTCTCCTCCAGATGATTCTAATGTGTAGCCAGTTTTGCGAATCACATTCTAGATCAATAGTCAAATTTTATTGTTGGGAAGAATTACCTGGAGAAGGAGTTAAAATACTGATTCCTCACATTTCAATTTCAATTTTGAGAAACATTGCTCTAGTCCTCCACGGTCAGGGATGTAGCCATTAACTGCATATGGCTATTTGAATTCAAATTAGAGTAAACATTCAGTGGTTCATTTGTACTGGAAACTTTTTAAGTGCTCAATAGTCACATATGCAGATTACAGAACATTACTATCATTGCAAAAATTTCTGTTGGACAGCACTTTTCTGAACTTAAGAGCCCTGGGAGTACAGCAGTGACCTATAGGAGTCCTCCTTCGTATGGATTCCAGAAGAGCAAAAAACGTAGATATGAACAATTAAGCTCAGAAAAGGGGAAGTGGTGGGTTCTGTCCTAGTCTAAGAGATCAAGGAAGGCCTCTCTGAGGAAGTGACAGTTAACAGAGACAATTCAGTAGTTGGTAATGACTGTAGAGTTATAAGAGGAAGAAAGCATAAGGACTGCTCAAAGATGAGTTATCCTGGAAGGAAGTCCTGCTTTAAACAGTACTCACAGGGCACCTGGGTGGCTCAGTGGGTTAAAACCTCTGCCTTTGGCTCAGGTCATGGTCTCAGGGTCCTGGGATTGAGCCCCGCATCAGGCTCTCTGCTCAGCAGGGATCCTGCTTCCCTTCCTCTCTCTCTGCTTACCTTTCTGCCTACTTTTGATCTCTGTCAAATAAATAAATAAAAATAAAATCTTTAAACAGTATTCATATTCATAAACAATAATGAAAAAGCAGGGGCACCTGGATAGCTCAGTTGGTTAAGCAGCAGACTTGGGATTTTGGCTCAGGTTATGACCTCAGTGTTGTGAAACTGAGCCTTGCCTCAGGTTCCATACTGAGTGTGTAGCCTGCTTGGGATTCTCTCTCTCTCTCGCTCTTTCTCTCCCTCTGGCCCTCCCTGCTCATGCTCTCTCTCTCTCTCTCAAAATAAACAAACAAACAAACACACACACACACCCAATAGTGTAAGCACACACACCCAATAGTGTAAGCAGCAGATGGGAAGGAAAAGTATCACATCATATAAAGAATTAAGGAAGCTAAGGCTTTTCACCTAAGGGAAGAGATTAATTCAGAAATTCAGAGTTCAGAAAAATTTTGAGGAAACAAATTCTCCTTTCCTCACAAACCCTCTCTTCCCCCAAAATATGAGTGCTTAAGTCCAACCTCGAATTGTTTCACTTCATGATTTCAGGAGACCTCATTGATCATGTGGTTCATTCTTGCTTCAGATTCACATTGAAAAACTGAGACTCACATTGTTGTGAATTTCCTAAAATCTTAAAGTGAGTTGGGGGCTGAGTCAGGATTGAGGACATTTATTAAAGGATGTCTCAAGTCCAGTGCTTTTCACATCATGCCATAGACCTAATCCAAACCCGGATGGTCCTCTGCTTAAACTAAAATTCTTCTTTCAAGTTGTTTCATATGCATTAATGTCTAAACATAAAAGCCTATATCGGAAAAGTTTGGGGAGGCACTAGAAAATCCAGGTTAGCTGCATATATTAGCCATTTATCTCTAGAAAATTCATTTGCTCTCTCTAAACCTATTTGCCTTTTTATGTTATTACTGACATAATAAGATCTGTGTACCTCACCCTTTTATGTAGTCAAAAGATAAAATGTATTAAAAAATATCATTAGAATTCTGGTTTCTGCTATGGCATTTGAAGACCTTGGGAGTTATCACTCCTGTCATGCAGATAAGAAGAAAGCTGAACACACTGAAAATCAGCAACTCTTACATCTACCAGATAATTGAGGTCACAAGGTAAATCACCTCCCTGAAAACTGCAAAGGTAGGTGAATGCAGAGAATCATACCTTATGATCTCACTGGAGCCAGTAATGGGTAGAGAGCTCTTCAACAGTAATGGTGAGGACCCAGTGACCAGAGAGCACCCATACCTTCAGGAGTTGTCCTTCAGGAGTCTTGCTAGGTTCTCACAGTAAAGATCAGAGAAAAATGTCCTCTTGCTTCGGGCAAAGGGAGGGGAAATGTAGCCATTATGAAACATGCCCAGAACCTCCGTTCTCTGAAATAAAGCCTAGTCTTCTAGATAAACATTTTTATCGGAGCTTTATCAGACTTGGAAGAAGAATAATTGGGTGATCTGAACCCCTTCTAGTTTTCCTGTCTCTGATGAAGAAAAAAAAAGGGTTAGGAAACTTCTCTGAGGGTTACAGTTCAGGGATCCTGGCTCACTAAAAATGGAGATTTACTCATAAGAGTATAGAGTGCTTCCATTCCCCAATACCTTATGAGCATATTAAAAGTGTTCCAACAATAACAGTGGATTACAACTGAGAGGGCTGCAAGACACAGACACAGTTTAAGGAGTTTCTAGGAAAGCTCAAAGACAAAACAAGAGACAGAAGGAAGGATATTAGGAGAAACTGAAAACTATGACACCTACAGCTATAGCAAATATTAAACACAACCTAACTCTGGCAAGGTAAAAAGAAAATCTCACACTAAAGGCCTGCTTACAACAGTGCCTATTATTTGATACATCATATCTGGCTTGTAAAAAAAATTACAAGGCATATTAAAAGGCAAGAAAAAACACATCTAAAGAGATAAAGCAAGCCTCATAACCAAACTCAGATACGGTAGAGATTTTGGAACTATCAGACTTCGGATTTAAAATACCTATTATTAATATGGTAAGAGCTCTGTTGGAAAAAGTTAACATACAAGACAAAATGCGTAATATGGGTGATGAAAACTTTAAGAATGAAAAGAAAATGCTTTTCATTCATTTTAAGAATGAAAAAAAGAAAAAACAAAAACCACTGCAACTGAAATGAAGAATACTTTTTTACAGCCAAGAAATAGTCAGTGAGCTTGAAGATTTGGCAATAGAAACTCTGCAAACATAAATGTAAAGAGAACATAGTATTGAAAAAACTCAATAGGATATCTGAAAACTGTGGAAAATTACACACAAAAAAGTGTAACACAAGGTAATGAGAATACAGAAAGAAAAAAGAGAAAGGAAGAGAAATATTTAAAGTAATAACGGCTGAAAATTTTCCAAAATTAATGACAGATGATACCAAATCAGAGGTCTAGGAAGTACAAACACTAAACAAGGTAAAACCAGAAAATATTTACATGTGGGCATATCATATTAAAGTGCAGAAAATCAGATGAAGAAAAATGTTGAAAGGAGCCAGTTTGGGGGGAAATAACCTTATCTACAGATGAACAAGGGTAAGAATTTTATCAGCCTTTTCTTCAGAAACCATGCAAGCAAGAAGAGAATATAGTGAAATATTTCATATTGAAAGAAAAGTCCATCAATCTAGACATCTGAATTAAGTATAATTATTCTTTTAAAAGTAAAGAGGAATATAGATTTTCTCAGACAAAAACTAATGGATTTTTAAAATTAATTAATTGATTAATTTATTACCAGTAGGCCTATCTTGGAAGAAATGTTAAAAGAAGTTTTTCATAGAGAGGAACAAGTATAGTTCAGAAAGTTGGATCAAGATGAAGAAAGGAAGAACGTTAGAAAACAAGTAAATGGAGGCAAAACTAAGATCTTTTATTTGCATTCTTAATTGACCTAATAGATAACTTCAAAACAAATAGCAAGAACATATTAGGTGGTTATAGCTTACATAGTTATATAGCTTATAGGATAAGTAAAATAACAGTAAAGTCAGAAGGGACATGAGAGAAGAATTGGGAATAGTCTACTATAAAGTTCTTGCACTATCTGTGAAGAGGTATGGTGTTATTTGAAAGTGGGTTTAAATTGGTTGTAAATGTATACTGCAAACTCTAAGGCAATTGCTTAAAAAATAGTAAAAAAGAAGTTTAACTGATAGGCCAAGAGA